GCACTACCATTCATGACATTCCACACAAAACAGAGTCCAAAAAGGAGTCCCTCAGACCGGGTTCGAACCAGTGACCTAAATGTGTGGACGCGGTTCGGGCCGGGTGGGGGTGCTGGAGGGCTCGGTCCGCAGACCGGATACACTCAGCTGCTTGTGCCTCGTGAGCCTTCCGTTCATTGCGGGTAGCGGTGTTGGGGGGGTAGGAGACAGAGATGCGGGTGCCGCAAGGATGGGGGTGTTCCCACGGCGCAACTAGATAAGGGGTAACGTATTCCGAGTCGGGGTGCGATAGGCTAGCTAGTCGGTGGATGATAGTAGGTGTGGTAGCAGTGGGCTTTGTGAGGTTGGGGAGCGCTGGGGTCGTGGGTGTCCCATGAGGCTGGCAAGCGTCGGGATATTTCCGAACGTGAGCGCTTGCTCCTGAGGCGAGTGGCAAAGTTCTCGGATAGGGTCATGTGATCACAGACCGTGTTTATTCTCGCGTCTCACCATCCATCCCTCATCCGCTATCTTCACCATGGTCTTATCCAAACCTGCGACCTTTCATGAAAAAGTCCGAGTCATAAATTCCTTAGCCAAGGATGCATGGCTCACACAGTTCAACAAGCCTTTAGAGAGATTCTGCCAATCATTATTCCGGGTAAGTACTCTGGGATCCACTCGGGAAGAAAATTATTAAACCCTCCTAGTATTGCAACAGCGTTGATTTATCCCCCGGGTGGTCTCGAGCTCTTGGGAATATCACGCAAGAACTTCGTGATTTCAAAAAGCATGTTCAAGATGTTGAACCAGCAGAAACCGGTATTCGTCGTGAACCATTGATGACATTTTGCGAGTAAGTTTTAAACCGTTTACTTTGGCGTGTTAATTAACTTTGATACAGCTCGCTTAGTCAAATTTGAACACTCAATACCCCAGCTGAACAGTTAACCCTAATTGAGAGCGCATACTGGTTGTACAAGGTACGGATACAATCTTATCTTTTTATATAATACTCAGCAATCATTTAGGCAGAACTTCGAGCCATTGGGCAGATTATCAAAAACAATCGTAATCAGCGAATTCGAGGTACGACCATTGTTTTTTAAGCCTTTTGAATACTTACATCTCTACCCAAGAGCGCATTAAGCTTCGTCTAAAGGTCACCCACCTACATATTCTACACGGCATCCAAATTCCTTGCAACCCGTCAACTATGCCCATCGAGCAGCTCCGTATGATACATGACCAACATAAGCATCTCTCAAGCTTCAAATCGATCGATCTGAACGCTCACGCCTGCAAGATGCGGAAATCCTGCCCAGGTTGCTGCGGCAACAAGTCGAAATCACTTCCGAACTATGAACCCCACCCAGATAGTACCATCGACTTCATTCCTGGCTTATTTTGCTCTGGGGCTGTTTCGTTGGATGACTTTGAACAGCATTCGTTTCATATGATCGACTCCGGTACGACGGTGGGAACTGTTGCGTTGCCTGGTGAAGATATCCCTGAGGTGGCACTTTTCATTCACGTTCCCAAGCTACCACAGATCAGCAAGAATTTCGAGGATCTTGCAAGCCTTTTGCACAATGGCGCAAAGTTTGGGACTCTGTGTCGTAGCAATGCAGCACACAAAGCTGCAGGCTTTTGTGAGTCATTTATCTCCTGGTTTGTAGGCTATAACTGTTGGTTGATCAACTTTCTAGCTGGTGTTATGAAGGTTCTTGGGTGGCGGCGGGCATATGATTCAACTCCATGGGCTTTGTATGCCATGCCTCCCGAGTGCAGGAAGGACAAGGTTTTGAAGTCACTCTGGCGGAAGTATGTTCGGAACATACGGAGGATTCAGGTAAGTGACAGTGCAGGCTTGTATTATCCAACTAACATAGATTCTGTAGAGAATCTTGAACCAGGAGTTCACCAGCTGCATCGCTCAAAAACTGGCACATGAGGCTCAAGATTTTGTCGCTGAATTTCATCTGCCTAGATTTGGTGATATTTTGGCTGATGTCAAGGTGCATTTCACTCTTTCTCAGTTTCGTACATTACTGACTACATTTGCTAGACCCATGGGCAAAGTCTCGGCTGCAATTTCACCATTTCTTTCCTTGGGTTTGCAAATCAGGCTCACCTCGACAACGATGCCTTCCGCTACGTCTTTAGCCTATATATCTTTGTCGACAAGTACGGCAAACTAGTCACTGACCGAGAACGCATCAAGAAGTGCATGAAGGGCGGTCATTTTCTATGGCCGGATCTCCACCTTGGTCTCGATCCATCCAACTGCAACGGGGTTGTTCTTTTCATCTGGCGTGGCACCCATGAACGACATTGTACCATGTCATCCGAGATCTTGGATGACGATGTGATCCGTTATGGTACCTCAATCCAGGTGAATGAGCGTCTTCTGGCAAGCGTTCTTTCATACGAGAAGAAGATGAGGGACTATGAGGAGGATCTGGAGATGTGGAAAGAGACTGGGAAGGGCAAGAAGCCGAAACGCCCAACCCCGCCAGAAGGTTACAAGGCATAACGTTATCTGAACTTTTCATATATGCCATATATCTCTGTACTCCGCTACTAATGTATTTTGATATGTTAAACACATACTCTCGGACAATACTCGACATGGGTCCGTGCATGTGCGACGTTTCACGGACGACCACATCTAACTAGGGGAGTTCCAGCAATGCACTGTGGTTGACACCACCCTGGTGCCCCGCGAAATAGCGGTGTATCTCTTCGCCAAGCCTTTCCTAGAATTGAAACCGAGTACTTGTTATGCTTTCCTTAAACAAGTGGAAATACGTCACCAGTGCGGACAATGCTGTCGACCCCGAATTATTAAAATATCGTGAACCCTCCAACGCGTCTACTCACCTTCAATTGCCCAAATGTCGGCTGCCCGATTCTGCAACAATCCCTCCAATTTGGCATTTTGCCTCTCCACAAACAACCAATCCCAAGCGCAACGTAGCCAGAACGCTACGTTTGGTGGCAGTATATTTGCGACATGGCTGAAATCGGGTTTTGGCAGCTTCCAACCTTGAATCGGCAAAGGAGCCTGAACTGGGGCGACGGATGGTGCAGGTTGGGAGTGCGAGGACGAAAGAAAGATCGCAGGCCCACTCAAATTCGTTGGTACCACGGTCGCGACTGCGTTTGCGGCTCTAACAAAAGTGTCGAGGGGCCAGGGGAAGAAGTTTTAGCTGCCTCGTAGACCGGGTCCTTGGATATTTTGGACGAAGGTGCGAGGGCGGGTAGAGCAGCAATAGTCGCCGCTGCTTGCAAAGTTATAAAATCTGACATCGGACATAGCTTAAGGTACTCACTCGCCGCTGGGAGAGTGTTACGATTAATAGCGGCGTAATCTTTGCCAAGTAGTAATAAGCACTCCTTAAGATCTAAAAATAGGGCCACACGGCGCGGGACGGTTGGTAGCAACATTCGCTAGTTCGGCAAACGCAAAGTACTACAATATTACGGTAAATTCAGTCAGCTTAGGGTAATTTGTTTCACGGATCCACCATGCATAGTACACGCCGCCAAACACGCACCAGTAAGTCAGAGCGAACCTACAGGACTGGGCTGTAGACCGCCAAGTGGCGGCCCCGGTCCGTTGCGCGAGGCCCCCCTAAGACACATACCAGCGAGTACCACAGCGCACAGACCCCCGCTCACAAATCGTCGCAACCACGAACGGTTCCGGTTATTCACCGCGTCCCGAAGAGAGTAGACAAGACCCAGCACGACGTTTCCCAGCACGAGCATGAGGTGGCGCTCGTTTAAACTCCAGGGATGGCGACTGGTCGATGGTTAGCCTGTCTTTACTGCGCCGAAATTGGATCCAGCAAAGAGAGAAAGCTTGATTCCGGGAACGTGAGTGCTCACGAACGTGGCATAGAGAGGCCAACGCAGCTCCCAAAAAAATATGAAGCCCCAAACACAGTGGCGAGACACGAGCAACCTCGGCAACGCAAATTTTGGGTCTAGGCACAGATAGAGCTTGGATGACTTAGCCGAGTTTGGTCTGACATTGTGAAGGCACCCACCTCGTCTTCGTAGTTTACGAGCGAGCGGAGTTGGAAGAACGCCAAACAGGAAAGCAAGAGTGAGATGGAAAGCGTGAATAAAAGATATAGCAATCCTCCTGATGAAACCACCGCGCCAGGCCACAGTTCCAGTACTCATGGCGCAAGCTTCCTTAGATATACAACCCTTGGTAGCTCAGTTGGAAGAGCGTGAGACTGTAACGGTAATTGCACTATCTCAAGGCCATCAGTTCAATCCTGATTCAAGGGATGCTTTTTGCTGCCAAAAGTTGGCCTGATTTAGACTTTTTATATCGTAATAGGCATCAGATCGAATCGAATGGGTCAGGGAGCCAGCCTGGTTGGCTAGTTGGTCTGCACGTTCGTTCCCGGGGACTTCCGAGTGGCATGGGACCGAGGAGATTCACGTGATCAGGGCTCGTGACTTGACGCGTCTCTTGTCCGCCACACTTGCCACCTGCCATGGAGACTCAGACTCCCGTCCAGACTGGTTCTCAAGCTGACCCTACCACTGAATTTCAAGCCCTTGTTCGCCAAGCAACTTTAGGAGCCGAGATGTTTACGAGCGCCGTAACGGACTTGATGGATCATGACATTGAATCGGATCAATTCACCGACAAAGACAAGGAATACCTGGAGGCTATGGCTGGCCAGATCGTTCATATTCCAGGCAACGTCAAGTCCCTTAAACGCATGTTTAAGGATCACATGGTACGTGCCCAAACTTTATGCTTGCGCAATTCTAACTCTGGAACTAGGGAGGTCCCGAGAAAAAGAAGGCTCGGAAAGGCCCCAAGGAAGGAGAGGTGAGTGATGCGAGGGTAGTGATATGCAGATAGCTAACCTGATCCCAGTTTGGCACCGAGGGCCACGCCACAGAGCTCTTCAACCTTGCTACAGAAGCTGAGCTAGAGCTCCACGAATTTATGCGGGCGCTCAAAGTTCCGGAACATAAAGGAGAAGATGCGATTGAGAATGGGTACTACGACGCGTTATCCAAGGTTGTGTTTACCCCGGAACAACTGGTAAGCACCCTCAATACCGCTGTATGTATACTCATCAAGTACTGGCAGAGCGCTCGCCTTGAGCAACACAGCGCTGATCTGGTACCAGCCACAATCGTTGAATCCGCCACCTCTGTTACTTTGGGTGCTGGGTTCAGCAGCGTACATAAATCATATACGGTAAGTTTGCTTTCAGAGCCATTATGACACGATGACATGACTTGCTCGCCTCAGGAGATGTGTTCAGATATTGGGGATATGCGTGGGACGACATGGCTGCTCCAGCAAATCAGCCAGAGACTACACGTGCTCACGTTTGCGACCGAGTGGAGCAAATACCAGGGCGCTGGTTCAAAAAAGAAGAAAGGGGAGATTTTCGAGAAGATGTTCCTGGGGAACGAGAAGGGCGAGCTGTCTGAGAAGGAGCGCAAGTCAACGGATTTCCAAAAGCACAAGAATCGTCTTCGCGATGATATCAGGGGCGCAAACCGATTTTTGAACGCATACAACACGGTGAGTAGTGGCGCATGTTGTGTACCCCTTAACTTACCACCGGACAGCTCGGCGTAATTGTGATTTTTCATCCACACCTAGAGTTCCGGTACTTTCGGAACTCCAATACTGGTTCCCTGACATCGGCGCTCACCCGCGTTCTCCATGACAAGCTGAGTGACACAAATCACTTGTCCAACATGGAGAACACCCGTCGTGCGCTACTGTGGGCTATCCTGGCAACATTGTGCCCGGATTCATCGGAGCTCAAGTGTCAGTTTAGGAAAGTATTACAGGCTGCCAGCAAGATGGACATCCAGGGGGAATAATAGTGCCTTCTATATACCCTGTTCGTTTCTAAAATGTTTGTGCCTCTAGTTTCATCATAATGTGATAGCGGAACACTTTGCTATTCGGAAGTTTCATTCAATAAAATAGACTAGATGTACATGTCCGCGGGGCCAATCCAAAGACTTTGGCTGATTCCTTGATTTCAACCTGGGTCGCAAAAAACAGACAAATATTCCTCCAGTGACCTTCGGATCGCTGGGCAGATGGTTGGGCGGATGGTTGAGACGTTGTGGTTGCGCTGTCGTCACTCGGGTCATGGTTATCTGGATCCTCGGCTGGGAGGAAGACAAATAATTGGTCAGGTAGATCTGGGTTTTCGGGACGAAAATCTGCAGGGATCTCCTCAAGTGTGCCGATTGTTGAAAGCGCTCCTTTGATCTGAGACAGGACACACAACAGCTTTCGGAAGGTTGGACCTGCTCCGCTAGGTGCTTTGGATCCCCCGGCGGGCTGACCGGTGGATGCCATGGGAGCCTAGTCGTGGTAAGGGGCAAGGGCGATAAGTCCTAGATTGGACACTCGGGTGACAGCTGATTTAATCATGTGGCCACGGGAGGTCTTCCCGTAAGCGCTAACTCTATTCTAAGCTATCTCAAAGAGCCGTTAGACATAGACAAATCATAGGAAACAGTACGCCAGAATTCAATCTTCTTTTAATTGCCTTGTTTGGACTCCCAAATGTGAGCCAGCAGCTTTGTATGCCCAGAGGCCAGGCCAGGATACAGCTTGCTCACGGGTTAAATAAACTGGTACCACAGTACAGCGAGAAAAAAATGAATGCATGCTACGAGTATCTGCGGAAATTGGCCCAGAAGTCTGAGTATGATCTCCTTTGGTAGCTTTAGCCGGCGCTTCTGTTGAGAAATGTGGTAAAGACGTGTCTTTTTACTCGCGGGATAATAAAACTCACTCTTGCTCTTGACTTGGGGGGTATCTTTCTCGAAGTCATTGGGCAAAGTGGCTGTGGGGAAAAGATCAGCATGTATGCGCGTAACAATAATGGTCACCAACCAGGAAGGTTGGCAGGTATATGAACTTTCTTTGAGCGCGTTGTGGGAGGCTCGGCGATAGTATCGTTGGCTGGGAGACATTAGGGAAAATCATTGGGAAAAATTGCGAGTCAAAAGTACGCGACGTACTCTCAAATGAATCGTCTGGTGACGGGAGGTACTCATCCTCATCTAAGCAAAATGAGCATCTAATCTAGCTATTGAGAGAAAGTTAGAACATACCAGAAACGACAATCCCTGATTTCTAGGGACTCGAGGCTTTCTGCTTAGCCCAGTGGGTTTCTGGTCAACAGAAGTGTGAATTGACAAAACTACTTGGTCAACATTCAATAAAATAGACTAGATGTACATGTATGCGGGCCAATCCAAAGACTTTGGCTGATTCCTCGATTTCAACCTGGGTCGCAAAAAACAGACAAGTACCCCTCAAAAACGTCTAAGCAAACAGCGACGGCAAGGGTCAGGTGGCCCAAAGGTACCCCCTTTACAAAGCTACAGATACAACGACGAGCAAAAGATGACCGAGTTCTGGCGTTCGAGCATTTCGGACGCCTTGGT